GAGGATTTTGATCTTGAGCTTTGTTGGCTTAAATTAAAAAAAAAAAAAAAAAAAAGCTTGTGGATGGCCGAGACTAATAATGAATAATTAATAAAGTTAGTCTTGTCTAAATATACCTATTTTTGAAGGCAGGCATTTTGGACCAGGAAATACCTGGCCCCTATTTATACCTTTTACAGCATCCATTAGTTAGTGACTGTGGCCATGCTGTGCTACTTATCACTCCTCTGCATATTTAAAATTAGTGCAGCTGTTTTCTCTGCAGGCATCCATAGGGTGGGCACTAATGCAAAACGTGGAGCCCTGCAAATATCACACACAAAATATCCTGTCCAGAGAATCTGCTTTCAGAGCACTGTCTTCTAGACCAGGGCTCAAAATTTCCACTCGCCCCCTCGCAATTGGCAAGTGAAAATTGCGTGGGGGCGAGTGGAAATCCAGGGGGGGGACTTCCGCTGCTTCGGCAGCGCCGATCGCTGTCTGATATTGACATTGTTTTCTTTTACAGGTCTCTACACTAGAGGGATTTGTTGGAAACATTGTCACCCTTGCTTTTCTGCCCTCAATTAATAGTAAGCATCACAACTGGTAACAAATAAAAATGTACTCACCTTGCAATTATAAGACGCAGTAAGTAAAAAATGGCAACGTCACAGAATTTGGTAGACCATTTATGTTGCCAGGAGTAACTGGAAGAGCAGAGCAGTGTAGGTCTTCAGATGTAGGATGATGGCTAGGTCAGGAGTCCAGATTCCAAATGGAAATTTGACAGTAGCAGAAGTAACAAGCTAATGATCAGGATAAGCACAAGCAAGCTGAATACAAACCCAGTCCAATCAATACACAGGAAATAATTCAAGACATGAACAACCAGGTGAAAGTAAGAGACACCAATATCCAGGGTATGATCAAACAGATTTATCAAGCACTAGGTGGAGGTTCTGAGTCCCCTATAAAGGAGGTTGAAGAGGGTCAGATGTGCACAGCAAAGCCCTGAGCTGCAATGTTGAGTAACAACTGGCAAATGGTGAGGGATCAAGGCTGATTGTTATAAGCAATAAATTGCCCTAGTTTTTTCTAATGCCTGTTACTCTTGGTGTAAGCTTGAAAAGTGACAATACATTATTCTAAGGCCATGTTTTTATCTTTCTCTATACCTGGATTTTGCTGTCTGTGCACCGTTGAGAAAATTTCCATTTACTTCTTGTCCCAAAGATGTAACTTGGAGTTAGAGGAATTGAGGGGAAGTCCCCTCTTAGACAGTTGTCCCTGGAACAGATATCCCCATTGGAAGATTTCCCCTTACCTCTTCTGTGGACAACTCTAACATTTTGCCTCACTTTTCTTTCTCCATGACAATGGCCACCAGATCAATTGGGGGGGAGGGGGGGGGGGGTTGAATCTCCTCAATAGGAACACAGACAGCAACAAAAACATGTCAGAGTGTCTAATCTTTCCCCACCTTATCCAAAACTAAACAAATAATGTTTTGACTAAAGATACACTTTTAGTGTAAACACATAAATTGTTACTAGTCAGTTTATTTCAAATACTGTTGTAACTTATTACTTTGTTATTAATATCTAATATAGGTTCTTGATTTACCCATGAGCTTCTGTTCTTTTATTATAGCTGTTGTTGGGAATGGAATACCTCTGCCAAAGCTAATGAATATTGACTTTAATAATGCAGAAGTTGATATAATTGACGTAAGTATACCTTTTAATCATGAACGTTTTTGAAATGCATTCATTTTTATTTTGCCTGAAATTATTTTTTGTGTAGTGTATCTTGCTAAAACTATTATAATGCTTATGTTTAATTCTTAGGAACTTGTTGTATTAAACTCCTAATATGGAAGGTAAGCTTGCACAATTTCACAACTCTTTATAAAATATTATAGAAAATTGAAAAGAAACAAAGAAGTTTTTGTGTATCACTTTGCTGTAGATCCTCAAATCATCTGTGAATTGGTGCTGACACTGTCCTTCCAACTGGAGGG